GTACCTGTTGTGGAATGGCTAGGTACACTGCGTTCAATCTATTTATTAAAAAAGAGTTAAGATGCAAAGTATGTTAACTAAATTTGCCAAATAATTTTTTACCATCATTAATTGATTATAAAGGTGTTGAGCCTTTCCAAAAACATAAAATGAGGGTGCTTCTTATTAGTTAAGCAGGCTGATAGGTAGACATTGCAGAATCTTTTCCAGCTAAGGAGAGTTTGTTGGCAGCAAACTTTATTCTGAATTAGAATGCTTAGTGACCTCAGTGCCTAGAAAACCATCAAAACTGTAATTGTACAAATCCTACTCTGCAATCCTAATACACCTATATCCTGCGCACCCCTTAGAGAACTGCTGCTGAATTTGGTCCTATTTCCCCACTTCGAGCACACACAGCCAGGTACACTATATTTTCCATGTTCTTCCATTGGCTCCAAAGAACAGTCTAAGGATGTCTTTTGGGTTTTTATTGGGAACGATGAACTTAGATAAGGTGAGGGAGCGTGGGATACCCTACCAACTGCAGAACTGAACAACTTGAGGACTCCTTAACTTTCTGGCAGCACTGTGAACTACAAAGAATGTTCCACAGGATTTCTAGGCTGATGGTGGCTAGTACTCCGTCCAGAGTTTTAAAGTTACACAGCACTAGGGTCATTTACTGACACTGCCACAGGATCATTGGTTGCCTCCTACTCATATCCACCAGGAGATGTAGACTCACATCACCAACTTCCTCCTGGCTCTCTCCAGTGAGCATCTCCAGATCCAACTTAATTTGTTGTATCTCTGCAAGTATACGTCTATGGAAGGGGGGTACACTGTATTTTCCATGTTCTTCCATTGGCTCCAAAGAACAGTCTAAGGATGTCTTTTTGGGTTTTTATTGGGAACGATGAACTTAGATAAGATGAGGGAGCATGGGATACCATACCAACTGCAGAACTGAACAACTTGAGGATTTCTTAACTTTCTGGCAGCACTGTGAACAACAAAGAATGTCCCACGGGATTTCTAGGGTGATGATGGCTAGTACTCCGTCCAGAGTTTTAAAGTTACACACAGCACTGGGGTCATTTACTCACACTGCCACAGGATCATTGGTTGCCTCCTACTCATATCCACCAGGAGATGTAGACTCACATCACCAACTTCCTCCTGGCTCCCTCCAGTGAGCATCTCCAGATTCAACTTAATTTGTTGTATCTCTGCAAGTATACGTCTATGGAAGGGGGGATTATTTAGGATAGGGCAAAAAGGGAAAAATGAATAAGTGCACATTGTCGGAAAGTGCACTTATTCTTTAATGTTAAAGTGGAACTTAGTTGGAAGTGGAGTCTGACTCCCAGGTGGCTGTGCCCCGTCCTGGGTGCCACAGTTATGGAACATGCCAAATGTACCCAAAGACTCTACCTGGCCTTCACAGGTGAATTACCATGCATGCACAAAAACAGTTTTTGGACTACTCCTGGTAGCAGTCTATGCAAGTGTGTAGAAAACCCTGCATGTGTGAAGATGCCAGGGGACAAGCTGCATTTGAAGGCATGCCATAGGATAATTGCCCTACTTGAGCTTTGCAGAACATCTGCACATGTGCGGGGGGGATTCTTGTGTAAGCAAAAATTGCAGTAATGCTGCTTTGCAGTAAAAAGTACTTTTTCCATTCCATTTCCATTTGTAAGAGAGGAAGGGGGAGGAGGCAGGGCAGCACAACCTGCCCTTTAGGGGGAAGGTCTGCTTTAATTTGGCATGTGTATAATCTCATTATTTTCTTGGTATTATATCTCCTGAATGATAAGCACATATATATTTTAGTATATCTAAAGCCCAAATGTTATTTTTTTTCAATTCCAGATAGCTACCTACTTTAAGGATTAGTTCATACTGGAATATGTGCTTTCCAATGTGGTCCAGTTTTGACAGCCCATTCATTTGCAAGCACTGCTTTTTCAAATTCACCCAAATCACATGGTACTATGGTACCATGCAGTTTGGTGGCTGCAAACCTGCTACATTTGTAAGATGTGTTTGGGGTATCATTAACAAGAATTGGCACCTGCACAAGTCTCACAAAGGCAACTCGTTTACCTGCAGTGTGGGAAATGCATAATATGGGCAGCACAGTGGCTAAATGGTTAGCACTTCCGCCTGGCAGTACTAGGGTCGTTGGTTCGAATCCCAGCCACGGCACCACCTGCCTGGAGTTTGCATGTTCTCCCTGTGCTTGCGTGGGTTTCCTCTGGTTTCTGCCCACACTCCAAAGACATGCTGGTAGGTTAATTGGATCCTGTTTAAATTGGCCCTAGTATGTGTATGTATGAATATGAGTTAGGGACCTTAGATTATACACCCCTTGAGGGTTAGGGACTGATTTGAATGTACAATATATATATGTGTAAAGCGCTGCGTAAATTGATGGTGCTATATAAGTACCTGAAATAATTAAATAAATAATAAATGTGCATGAATAGCGCCTTTCCTGTGCTGTGCTTTGGTGTGAATGGGTCCTAAAACTTAGTGTGTGCTCAGATTATTAAAAACAGAATGCGTTTTGGGGTGTAGTTGTAAGCATAAAATAATGGCAACCACCCCAGCCTATAACTAGCCTTTAAAGAAAGGTGTACATGGAAGGGCAATGCAAATTGCAAACAAACAAAAGATTTCCCAGCACACTTACCAGCCAGCCTGCAAAATAACCGAATTGCCCTGTAATTGTAAGGATGCCTATGCTGTGTGTGAGAAATACATTGTTAAAATTGCAACTTTATGAAAAAAAAAAAAAAACAAATTTTTGCTTTCAAAATATTTATTAAGGGTTTAAGATACAATACAGTAGAAAGATCCATTAAAAAAGTTAATAATAATAATAATAATTGTGACAAACATGGTCAGCATCAGTATAACAAATGTTCACTGTTAACACCATTGATATCATACATTAAAAAAAAAAGAAGAAAATTATTTAATTTGTTAATTTTCAAAAAAATTTAATTACACCCTCAAAAAACTTACCATGGCTTTTACTAAATACCTTGCACTGTCTACTTTCCAAAAGGGATCATTTGGGGGTATATGTACTCTCCTGTTGTTTTGAGGCCTCAAGAAATGAGAGGTCGTCAGTACATGAGGACTGATCAATTTTCAAAAATATTTCCTATATAACTTTCATACAGACTAAATAATAAACACTAATTTGGGTTTTTTTAACCAAAGAAATTTAGCAGAATACTATTTGGCCTAAATTTATGAATTAAGATTATTTTTTCAGTATATTTATCTTTTTTAGTTTATGTGCCATTACATATACTTCCATTATCATGCATTAACATAATTTTCCTTGTATTACTTTACATGCAATTAAAAGTATATTTCAATAGATTTGCATTAGTTAACCTATATTTCCCATAAAAAGAAAATGCAAACATTAGCTTTTTTTAAATAAATGTATTGCTGCCAGAAATAGAAGCATTTTCTTTGTCTAGGTAGGGCAAAGTAAAGAGGTAACTTAAATCAGATTAAGTCCCTTCCAACGACATAACATCCTTGCCCAGTCTCCTTCCAAGTTTACATTTTTTGGCTATCTCTTTTATGTTTTCCGCATGGAATTGGTGGAGGCCTCCTTACATAAGAAATCACGAGTCCGAAAATTCTTTGATGCCTGGGGATCTTTCATTCAAACCTTGTCTACAGATACCCAACTATCAATAGTACAATGTTTTCAATATACCCAATGGTATCAAACTAGACTTAAACAATGACCCTCCAAGTACTATCGTACCCTCTAATTAAATTAAAATATACAGTATTTTACGCTGAGCCCTTCCCTCTTTCCTCCATCTGCTAGTTGTAAGACCGACCGCCATCCATTTTCTTGTTTATTAATGTCCATCCTTTGACCCAGCACTGCTACTTGGTTCTCAAACTATGCTGACAAACTGTATGCCATCATTTTTGCATTTTTCCAATGGCAAAATCTTGCGGCTATTTTCATTGTTAATGGCATTCTCGTATCAAAAAATACAATAAAAAAAAAAAAAGAAGAGATTGAAAATTCTGAAAAATATTCCTTAGTTTCTGTTATAACATTTTTTTTTGCAATTGTCTTAAAGTGGCTGTATACCCTCATATACCCAGTGAAGTGAATGGCCTCAGGTGATACACCGAGATGAAACAAATCCTCCTACAAATTAGGAGACAAGTTTGAGATTGTGATGTCACCGCCTGCCTCTCCACCTCACCCAATCAAAGAATGCTTTGCATTCATTAAAAAAAAATGCAAAGAGTTCTCTGAATGGCACCCGTGCTGAGCGAGCGAGCGACCTCCTGTGGTTACTGAGCAGCAGGGCAGCCGCTCATTCCAGGACCCGGAAGCCAGCAGCAATCATTGTACAACAGTAGCAGTGTGTACTGCAGTAATTTCCAGCTTCTACAGGAATCAGCAAGGTATGGCACTTGCATAGTTACATTGGTCCAAGCTGGACTAATATAACAATGAAAAAATAGCCATACCTAGAATGCAGTAAATGCAAGTGTCCGTTACCTCTAGTAGCTTAATTACCATTGCTGTGTATGTTTGTGTGGGTTTTTTTTCTCAGAGATTGTCTTATTAACATTCTGCTAAAAGCTTTCTGCTTTGTGCATTAGTACTGCTTGGACCTTGAAGAAGGGGGTACACCCCAAAAGCTTGTCCTAAAAATTTGGATGTTAGTACAAATACAAAAAGTATCATGGGCAGTACTCAATTGCTTTTGATTTCTCTAGTAGCTAATCTAGCAATATCTGTATTGAGCACAATAAAAATGATATAGAACAGCATGCTTGTAATAGTCATATATAAAAAAAAAAAAATTACTTTTAGGAAAATACAGTATTCATGCATGCTCACTGAAAATACATTGTACTTTTTTTAAAAAAAAAAGAAAAGCAAAAAGAAATCCTGATCACATGAAGATGTTGGGGCAAGATCAATTGAAGATGTTGGACCTATCGCCTTCCATCTATGGACCCCCAGGGACCGACAGCTGAGCCTCCTGAGCACCTGCGTTTTGCTAAATACATTACACAGCATCAGAACAGTGTATTTTTAAACTAAAACACAGTAAATGCAATGCATACATATATCATGTGAGGCAAGATCAGTGTTGTAGAGCAGAATTAAATAATGTAGACATTGTTGTTATTGTAGAGGTCAAAGTAGGAAACAAACACTGCAGAGTTATCTAGAAATCGCTTCCAGTAAGGCTCCATGCACACGGGGTGTTTTAATAACGCCGGTAACGTTAGCTGTGTAAAGTCACGTTAAAATGGCGAGTTTTTCAGCGTTTTTGCATTAGCGTTTGGCGGAGTTTTGCAGCATTCTTTCAAGTTTTTTTACCCCCAAAAAATTATTTTTATTGCTCAAAAAAAGTCAAAAACGCAGATTTGCTGCAATTTACAGTGTTTTGCCACGTTTTTCAGTTTTAGACCGTTTTTACAGCTAAAAAAACACTTTAGATACCCACTAGTTCTGGGGGGGGGGTGTTTCCCAGCCAAGAAATGCCCCCGCCAAAAAAAAAGCTGATTATAGTCTAAGTGTGCATGAACACATAGGATAACATGCTGGGGGGTTTACTGGCTGTAGAAAAAAACATCAAAAGCCAAAAACAGCCGCTGTAAAAACGTCCAGTGTGCATTATATTTGAAAATGCATAGAGCTTAATATATTTGAAGCAGATTTTAACCTCCACATTCATCAGTGTGTCTTTTTTATTTGCTATTAATGCGTTGTCCAAACTTTCCTTATCCCATCCAAGTATAAATTCTGGGGAGGGCAAGCGAGGGGCAGGTATGGCCACTTTTGTGTAAAGTGCCATTTTTTGTGCATTAAGTCTTGACACTTTTAACAACATTATTATTATACAGGATTTATATAGCGCCAATAGTTTGCTCAGCGCCTTACAATATAAACATGGCACTTTAACCTCTTCCCGCTGACATAGCTAATATATGTGGCCTCTGGCGGGTGGGCTTTAGAGGCCGAGAGGCCACATACATTTGGTCCTATGTTAACAATTCTCTGTGCTGAGACGCACTCCCTGCGCGCTCCCACTACAGACACCAGCAAGGACCGGAAAGCTCCCAGTACATACTAGGGATTGGGAGCTTTCCGATCAAGTGACGTGCATACCGGGTCCAACACCACATTCAACACTTTCCTCCTATGATCCTATTAACACTGAGGAAGTTGCTAACTCCTTTCTGAAGCCCACCTCACCACCTGCCCCTGGACCCTGTCCCCTCATAACTAGTGTGGCCCCCTCTCTGCTGTATCCTGCACTCTCTGACCCACATCTTCAATCTATCCCTCTCCACTGGCACCTTTCCCTCCCTCAAAACATGCACTGGTCACCCCCATACTTAAAAAAAACTCTCAATGGACCCCACCTGTTTGAACAACTTAAGACCCACCTCTCTGCTCCCATTCGCATCCAAGCTTCTTGGACACTTTGTCCACAAACCGTATGAGTTGCTACCTCACTGATAACAACGTTCTTGACCATCTACAGTCTGGCTTCCGCCCTCAACATTCCAGAGCAACTGCCCCACCAAAACTCAATAATGACCCACTAACTGCTAAAACCAATGGCCATTACTCCATACTCATACTCTTAGACCTTTCCACTGCCTTTGACACAGTTGACCACTGCTCCTCCTAAGTAAACTCCACTCCCTTGGCCTTCACAACTCTGCTGTGTCCTGGTTCTCCTCCTACCTATCTCAGCATACCTTTGGTGTCACCCACAGCTCTATCTCCTCCACTCCCCTTACTCTTTCTTTTGGACTACCCCAGGGCTCTGTCCTTGGCTCCTTCTCTCTCTATGCTTCTTCCCCAGTCCAGTTGGTAACCTTCCACAGCTTCTAATACCATCTCTATTACGATAACACACAAATCTACTCCCAGCTCATCTCCTTCAATCTCCTCACATATCACAAATTTACTAAATGATATATCAGAATTTATGTCACACTATTTCCTCAAACTCAATCTGTTTAAAACCGAGCTTGTAACATTTCCTCCTCCCCCCATGACCATTGGGATCAACAGCACAATTATTGGTCTCTCTGTACATGCCAGGGTGCTAAGTATAATCCTAGACTCTGACCTCAGGCTTCCAGAATTTACCCTTTCTTAACCAACAGCACTGCAAAACAACATACTCACTCCCTGGTTATCTCCTGCCTTAACTACTGCAACTCCCTTCTCAAGGGCCTACCTCTACATAGGCTACCCCCTTCAGTCTATCATGAATGTGGCTGCTAGACTTATGCACCTTACTAACGAGTCCATGACTGCCCTTTTCTGCCAATCCCTTCACTGGCTTCCACTAGCCCAGCGTATAAAATTAAAAATACTAATGATAACATACAATCCATCCACAACACTGCCCAAAGCTGCATCAACCTCAACTCAAGTTTTCTCCCAAATTGTCCACTCTGTTCCTCCCAAGACACCTTGCTCTCCAGCTCCCTTGTTTCCTGCTCCCATGCTCGCCTTCAGGACTTCTCCAGAACCTCTCCCATTCTCTAGAACTCCCTTCCTCAGTATGTATGGTTAGCTCCTACCCTGTCTGCCTTTAGGCGCTCCTTGAAAACTCATTTTTTTCAGGGAAGTCTACCCCACCTCCACCTAAAAACTGTAATTTAGCCACCTCCATCAGTTCATCCCCACAGCTATTATCTTTTGTACCACCTACCCCTCCCTTTAGATTGTAAGCTCCATGAGCAGGGCCCTCCTATTCCTTCTGTATTGAACTGCATTGTAATTGTACTGCATAAACTGTTTGCGTTATATAAATCCTGAAGAATAATAATAATAGTAATAATAATATATTTCTAGCTTGCAAAAGGAAGTGCTAGGGAATTTGTTCTATACAGTAGAAGTTAATCTTATTCAAAGTAGAAGAAAATGTTGTTCTTTAGGCTTGACAGAGAGAAGAAAGCTGGCTTTTACAGCTGTCTGTGTCCCTGTTGGGGATATACAGAAGAAGACATAAGTTGGGGAAAGCAGACAGCCCTAAAACATGATAGAGCTTCTAACCTTTTCCCACTTTACAAGAACCAATGTGAGCTTTAATTTAATTTGCTGTCTCGGTGACTAAAAAGTAGGGTAGTCTATCCAATGGGACAAAAAAAGTAATAAAAACCTGGCAGATTTCAACTCTTTCCCAAATTGGTGTTCTACTTTAAATTTTTGATAAACCAAGTGATAAGCACTGGGAAATCTGAGTTTTTGTGGAGAACTGTTTAAATCTGAGATCCTATATCAGAAGGTTGTATAAAATCTGGAGTTCTCAATACTGCTCTTCTCTTGGATGTTAAGATAAGAATTAAAAATGGCTGTTTTCATGCCCAGAGGTCATTGAAGCAGTAGCACTATGCACTGACTAACGTGACTATAACTTTAAAAAAACAATGAAAAAATGATTAAAGTCATAAGGGACAACCTCACCTTTAGTGGAGTTGTCCTTTAATAAACCAACCACCCACCTGACTGCAGCACATCTGGGCCAATACGTATCTTCCTCCCTGATCCAAGGGTCTTTTTATGGTTAACATGGTTCTGGCTGACTGTCCTTCATACTGTGTATATGCACTGCAGTCCAATTCATTCCTAGGGGTAAGCTGCACCTAAGCAGCCTCCAGTGGTCCCCCAGAGTACAGCTTACCGATAGGAATGAACGAGACTATGCGCATGGCGAAGTGGGGCTGGTCAAAACTTTTCAGAGAAAATGCCACTAGACCAGGTAGGAAAGTGTGTATAATCCCATGAGTACTGCTTTCAGGTGGGTATTAAAGGTTAACTTCACGAAAGGGGCATGGTATGCCATGACAAGCTACTGAACGGGGGGGTTAATCATGCCAATCCAAGCCAGGTAAGGCAATGTAACTTAATTTTACCCCTACTGCTTCCCACTGCTCATTCCCATCCATTTCTTGATTATTCTCATATTGAATACAAGTCTGTTCTCTGCACCAGCCTAAATCAGTGCAAGTCACATAAAAATGTATGATAAGCTGGTCATGCCACAGTTCCATCCTATTTGACAGAGGCTGGCACAGATTTCTGGCTTACTTGAAGCTCATGGGATACATGGCAGCCAGAGGACTTTGGAATGATATACTTGATGTCCCATGTTGTCATGTTGCTGTCAGCGATCATTAATGTTTACTGTGCCCTCTGGAGAGTTCATTTCATTTTATCTAAATGCAAATATTACACGGAAAGGTGTCCACACACATTGGAGCATGTTTACAGCAGGATCTGTAGGCATTCTGGTCATGCCAGATATCTCTCTGCCTTAGCCTTTGGATAGGCTACCTTGAATTTTGTTCCTGGCTATAGGCTAGCGTTTTCCTCTTAAAGATTGGGGCTCTGGATGTCTGTATAGAGCCCCAAATACTGACATGTATGTTTCGACCACGAACTTTCATCGAACAGCGGCTTTGGTGGCCCAGTTATGAAAACATGAAGGCAACACTAGACCATTCAAAACTAATACTAGTGGTTTCTACTGACCTACATTGTGTTTCCTGTATAAGACTACAGCAAAAAAAATATTTATGTATAATTATTTTTAGCACTAAAACATAATTAAAGATTTAAAAAAATGCACATTACAGATAAAGATCAGACCTTTTGCCCAGCTGCTGGCATATTATCCGGCAAAATGCCAAGATCCGCTGGAGAGTCCACTCCACAATTTGGTGCCACATTGGATTCACAGCGTCTGTGTACGTTCATTTTACATCCTGGACAAATATTACAAAGCAAAGAAATAAACCTAATTCAACAGATTCAGTCTCTGCACATATTTTTACACTGAAATCAAATCCTTGTAACCGCAGCTCATAGGCTTGGATTTCCTTTGTCAAAGTCTTATATTTGACTCTGATCATACCACAACAGTCAGTACTTCTCATGCGCTATTTCTATTTAAAGGATAAGTTCACCTTCTTTAAAAAATAATAAATGCACATATTTTGCAGGTAAAAAAATTGTGCATTTACGATTTTTTTTTCTTTGCAGCCTATAAAGCATTGCACCTGCAATCAGCAGATCGCAGGTGCAATGTCCAGCTCCTGCAGACTGTCAGTGTAGCCAGTACCTCCAATACAGGCAGGCAGTTACTGAATGACAGAAAACTCAATGGGCTACGAGAGTGCTCACCAGCGCCCTCACAGTTCACTGAGAACTACAAGCCGTTTTTGTACGTATTCATTCACAGAACTCTGTGAATGGATGACGCAGTCGTGTGATCGCAGCCACGCACAGCCATGCTCTCTTCAAATTGTGACAGTGGGTGCAGGAGAGGAACCCCAGCCTGCTGTCATGGGGGGAGGAGAGCTGCAGGGGTGGGAACATGGTACCTGTTCCACCCTAAAAATGGGTGGAACATGTAACATGTTCCCAAAAGGGAACTTACAGTGCCTTGAAAAATGTTATGTGATAGACCAACACAAAGTGGCACATAATTGTGAAAGAAGTCCCGTTTGCAGTTTGCAAGAAGCCATGTGGGGGACACAGCAAACATGTGGAAGAAGGTGCTCTGGTCAGATGAGACCAAAATTTAAATTTTTGACCTAAAAGCAAAACGCTATGTGTGGCAGAAAACTAACACTGCACATCACCCTGAACATACCATCCCCACTGTGAAACATGGTGGTGGCAGCATCATGTTGTAGGGATGCTTTTCTTCAGCAGGGACGGGGAAGCTGGTCAGAGTTGATGGGAAGATGGATGGAGCCAAATACAGTGCAATCGTAGAAGAAAACCTGTTAGAGTCTGCAAAGGACTTGAGACTGGGGAGGAGGTTCACCTTCCAGCAGGACAACGATCCTAAACATACAGCCAGAGCTGCAATGGAATGGTTTAGATCAAAGCATATTCATGTGTTAGAATGGCCCAGTCAAAGTCCAGACCTAAATCCAATTGAGAATCTGTGGCAAGACTTGAAAATTGCTGTTCACAGACGCTCTCCATCCAATCTGACAGAGCTTGAGCTATTTTGCAAAGAAGAATGGGCAAAAATGTCCCTCTCTAGATGTGCAAAGCTGGTAGAGACATCCCCAAAAAGACTTGCAGCTGTAATTGCAGCAAAAGGGGATCTACAAAGTATTGACTTTGGGGGCTGAATACAAATGCATGCCACACTTTTCACAGATTTATTTGTAAAAAATGTTAAAAACCATTTAACATTTTCCTTCCACTTAACAATTGTGTGCCACTTTGTGTTGGTCTATCACATAAAATCCCAGTAAAATACATTTACGTTTTTGGTTGTAACATGACAAAATGTGGAGAATGTTAAGGAGTATGAATACTTTTTCAAGGCACTCTAATGTCTGTGGTGTCATGTTGGTTATGATCTGTCATGGTGGCAGTCATCGTTGCCCATTACTTGTAAAGCTCTGCTTCCTGCTGAGTGGTACTACACAGCAAATATGTCCACTAATAAACTCCCTGATATATCATCTTTTTTACAAAGTGTTTTCTCAGCAGTCTTGATGACTACTGACAATATGACAGGAAGCAAGGAAGATTCTGACCAAGGAGACAGACAATGCTATAGTAAAATGGTTTTAAAAACTATTTGGATTACAGCATACATTTTTGCAATGGTTACAATTTTAAATGCATGGAACTGCAGTTGTAATATGTTTTCAACATGTGGAAAAAAGTTAAATTTCTTACCTTCACATTGTAATCCTTGTCGTATGAAGCCCCATAATAATGAGCCACAGTGATCACAAAATGTAGGGAAATGGTAGGTGCGGATGGTGAACTTGTGAGGCATGTTAATAGTAAAATTTGGAAGCTCACCTGCCGGTACACAACATAATGTTACTATCTTTAGGCAGGACTCTATCCACATCACTACCATAACACAACAGTATTAAAGAATATGTAACACAAGTGTAATAAAAGCGCCACACCCTTAATACTTTAAAGCAGCAATTCCACCTCAAAGAAACCGAATAAATTTCTTAGTGCTATAACTTAAATAAAGGAATGCGCTAAAACCACAAACTATTCCTAATTTAGTGTAGAAACATTAGTGCAAAAGATATATATATCTATTCTCAATTAATATCAAAAAATATCAAAATTATGTGCAAAACTATTTTTTAGTGCATAAGTAATTTAAATAATTAAATTTGTGAATATAAAAATTGTCCAATTTTGAATTTCTTCAAATGTCCAAACAAATCCTTTTCAAATTCAGGTGCTCTCAAAGAAATTGTGCCAAAATCCACCACCAAAGTAAAGTTGGGTAACTCACCAGAGCTCCATGCTGATCAATCTCTAGATCAGCAAAAAACGCTTTTTGCTCTGGGAGCAAAAATTATTTATTTAATTTAATTTAATTATTTAAATTACTTATGCACTAAAAAATAGTTTTGCACATAATTTTGATATTTTTTGATATTAATTGAGAATAGATATATATATCTTTTTGCACTAATGTTTCTACACTAAATTAGGAATAGTTTGTGGTTTTAGCGCATTCCTTTATTTAAGTTAAAGAATATGTAAACCCAACATTTTATATTCCTGACATGTACCTGCTGTACCATGGACATGTATGAAAAAGTCTCCTGTTCTCTTTGTGTTGCATTCTTTGTGTCTTTGTGGTGCTCCTGCCAGCCCCTCTGCTTTACTATTAAAAACTGACTACTCTAAGCAAGAGAACACACTGTGGTCAGTTCTCTAGCTGTGCTGGGAACTCAGCCTGCACTGCTCCAATGATCAGACTTTTTCTAACATGCCCCCTCTGTACAACCTTTCACTGGGAAGCTGAGTGTACTGCTGTTTCTCCTCCCTCATGTCTGAGAACAGAGGTGTCAGGGCAGGGCTGTGGAACGGACAGGTAGGCCTAGTGGCAGGGTAACACACTGGCTGACGACAACCACCACCAACAGACCGAAGTCCCTCAGGGCACGGAGTCTAAGTCCCAGGCTGCCCTTCACCAGGGCCCCTGATGGTGGGGATGGACTTGACGCAGCCAGGAACCAGGTCGCAGCCCACGAGACACCCCGGCTGCGGTAATGGCCGCCGCCAATGGCGTGTAGCTGGTGAGAATGACAATAGTGTAGTCAGGCAAGCCGGGTCGACAACAACGGGACAAAACGGTACAGAACAGTAGACAGAGAATCACAGGTCACGGGCCGGGTTCAGCAACGGAAGGTCAGATCAAAGGAAAACACAGAGAATGGTCTTAGTCACAAGCCGAGTCAGATACCAGAAGAGTCACGAGCATATACACAGAGCTGTAGCAAGACAAAGACACAAGACACAAGTGCAAAGAGCATGTGCGGATCACAGGCTTATATGTACTCAGCCACACCCCTCTGGGGGATGGACCTCAGAGACCTGAAGGCATAAAAGATTCCCACCATGCTCAGCAGAAATCCAAGATGGATGCCAGCACATGGAGTAACATAACCTCTGGGAAAAGGTAGGACCTTGACAAGAGGCCATTTATAATGTTTTGTTACATCTATACACAAATGTTTTGCCTTTCACTTCAAGTTTAAACTGAATGGGTTGTTTTACAAGTAGAGCGTTTACATACACTTTAAAGTTGAATTCCAAGCATACACAAATAATTGTAGCTTGGTATTCATTAATCCTTTCCTGTGCAGAGGCCACTGAAGCCCTGATGCCCAAGCTAAATTTAGAATTATTTTATTATTATTATTATTATTATTATACAGTATTTATAAAGCGCCAATAGTTCGCTCAGCGCTGTACATTACAAAGGGGGACAGAACATGTGACAGAACACTACCAATACAATGCAAAACATGAGGGGATTGAGGGCCCTGCTCTTTCGAGTTTACAATCTAGGAGAATTATCAGTATATGTTGATTACCTTGATTATAACTCTTTTTTTACAAGTGCATAAAAGATTTTATTTTGATTTGTAAATGTCAATAAATATTGTAACTGTATCAGACACTGCCATGTATTTGCTACAATGGCCTTTGCAAGATGAAACCATTATTTTTGTGAATGAAGCCTTAAGCTTGATTGCTAAATCATTGGCTGAAATATTGATCACATGATCAGGAACTATTCCGATTGGTTCCCCATTATTAGCAAGAGCTGAAGCTGTCAGTGACAGCCAGGTTTTGACAGCTAACAGCAGCTTGTAGTTGTCAAAGGAATGATTTTTATGAATATATCCTCATATGAATGTTTGAGACTGAGATTAATAAATCATTACAGTTTGTTTTTTAATGTAGCTAGCACTAATTAGCATTTAGCTGTTTGTCTCAAGTTAAGCTATAAATATTTCATATGTGGCATGTCTCTTTTAATCAAACTATATTTTCACCAAAGACTGAAAGAACATTGGAAACTAAAGCTTTGGAAGATATTCAGCTCACCAGCATCTATCCAAAAATAAAGCACCAATTTTCGGTGGAATTATTGTCTCTCATTATTGCCAGAGGTATGTGTTTAAAAGAGAACTCCACTTTTGCTTAACCACTTGCTCTCCAGAGGATTCACCTCCCCTCCCTGACCAGGCCATTGGTAATGGTGGTGATCAGAGACTAATAGCGGGACTGCGGGACTGTGATGGGCATTCTGACACTGGGGGGAACTGACTAACTGCCACTGACATCCCAATGACACTAATACAGTGATCAGTGCTAATAAAAAGCACTGACACTGTACTAATGACACTGGGCAGGAAGAGGTTAACATCTGGGGCAATCAAAGGGTTAACTGTGTGCTGTTTTACATCATGTGCTAGGTGTGTTTTACTAGGGAAACATGCTGTGCAGAGAAATACATAGTAGCATGTTCTTGCTGGCACACACAGGTCTCTCCCCTGACATTTTTACTCAACGATCGCCAAGTGCTTGCGGGGAATCTCCAGCCAGGACCCGGTGATTGACATCCATAGCCGCCAATGGCGGCATGGGTAGGGTGGTGCGCGTGTGCCCCCTACCTGAAAATGCTAATCACATATATATATATACAGTGGGGATCGAAAGTTTGGGCACCCCAGCTAAACATTTGTATTAATGTGCATAAAGAAGCCAAGGAAAGATGGAAAAATCTCCAAAATGCATCAAATTACAGATTAGACATTCTTATAATATGTAAACAAAAGTTAGATTTTATTTCCATCATTTACACTTTCAAAATAACAGAAAACAAAAAAATGGCGTCTGCAAAAGTTTGGGTACCCTGCAGAGTTAATATCTTGTACTGCCCCCTTTGGCAAGTATCACAGCTTGTAAATGCTTTTTGTAGCCAGCCAAGAGTCTTTCAATTCTTGTTTGAGGTATCTTTGCCCATTCTTCCTTACAAAACTCTTCCAGTTCTTTGAGATTTCTGGGCTGTCTGTCACGCACTGCTCTTTTAAGGTCTATCCATAGATTTTCAATTATGTTGAGGTCAGGAGATTGTGAAGGCCATGGCAAAACCTTCAGTTTACGCCTCTTGATGTAATCCCCTGTGGATTTCGAGGTGTGTTTAGGATCATTATCCATTTGTAGAAGCCATCCTCTCTTAACTTCAGCTTTTTCAGAGATGGCATCAAGTTACCATCCAAAATTTGCTGAAATTTTATTGAATCCATTTTTCCTTCTACTCGTGAGATGTTCCCTGTGCCACTGGCTGCAACACAACCCCAAAGCATGATTGATCCAACCCCATGCTTAACAGTTGGACAAAGGTTCTTTTCATTAAATTCTGTGCCCCTTCTTCTCCAAACGTACCTTTGCTCATTCCGGCCTAAAAGTTCATTTTAACCTCATCGGTCCACAGAACTTGTTTCCAAAATGCATCAGGCTTGTCTATATGTTCATTTGCAAAGTTCAAACGATGATTTTTGTGGTGAGGACGTAGAAGAGGTTTTCTTCTGATGACTCTTCCATGAAGACCATATTTGTACAAGTATCTCTTTATAGTGGAATAGTGGACCACAACTCCAGTGTCTGCCAGATCTTTCTGGAGGGATCGTGCAGTCAAACGTGGGTTTTTTGAATTGTTTTTCTCACAATCCTGCGAGCTGTTCTGTCTGATATTTTTCTTGGTCTTCCAGATCTTGCTTTAACTTCCACTGTTCCTGATGACTGCCATTTCTTAATTACATTCCGAACAGAAGATATTGACATCTGAAAACGCTTTCCTATCTTCTTATAGCCTTCTCCAGCTTTGTGAGCGTCAACTATTTTCAGTTTCAGTTTTCTAGACAACTGCTTAGAAGAACCCATGGTGCTGATTGTTGGGGCAAGGTCAGATGAGTCTGGGCATTTAAAACCTTTGAGATTGAAATCACCTGGTCTTCCCAGACGATGATTGAGAACAATCCATGACACTGGCAGGTCTCAGCTTGGCAAAGGGGGCAGTGCATGCTATAAATTCTGCAGGGTGCCCAAACTTTTGCAGACTCCATTTTTTTTGTTTTCTGTTATTTTGAAAGTGTAAATGATGGAAATAAAATCTAACTTTTGTTGACATATTATAAGAATGTTTAATCTGTAATTTGATGCCTTTTGGTGATTTTTCCATCTTTCCTTGGCTTCTGTATGCACATTAATACAAATTTTTAGCTGGGGTGCCCAAACTTTCGATCCCCACTGTATATATATATATATATATATATATATATACACGTGATTTTGCGCAGCCCTGCTGCCCTGTAGCAGTAGTTTTACTATAAGGCGGTGGGCAAGAAATTAAAGAAAACTGATTTAGCATATGTAATTGCCATTTTTAATTCAACATTTTTATTTCATTTCACTATGCAATCTGCTATGATTTTCTTATACTGCCTAGAATTTGATTTACTTTCATGTAA